ACTAAATATAGTTGACCTATTGTTTATAGTTTCTAAGATACAGACTTAACCAAGAAAACTAAACATTGACCAATGAACCAAGAGAATGAGGTCAAGGTCAGATGAACAATGCCAGGCAGACATGTACTACAGCTTGCAATCCTTCCATACAACAAATATAGTTGACCTATTGCTTATAGTATTAGAAAAACAGACCAAAACACAAAAACTTAACACTGAGCAATGAACCGTGAAAATGAGGTCAAGGTCAAATAAAACCTGCAAGACTGACAGGTACATCATAAAATATTTCCATACACCAAATATAGATGACCTATTGCATATAGTATTAGAAAAAAAGACCAAAACTCAAAAACTTAACTTTGACCACTGAACCATGAAAATGAGGTCAAGGTCAGAAGACACCTACCAGCTAGACATGTACACCTTACAATCATTCCATACACCAAATATAGTAGACCTATGGCATACAGTATAAGAAAAACAGACCAAAACACAAAAACTTAACTATAACCAATGAACCATGAAAATGAGGTCAAGGTCAGATGACACCTGCAAGTTGGACATGTACACCTTACAGTCCTTCCATACACTGAATATACTAGACCTATTGCTTATAGTATCTGAGATATGGACTTGACCACCAAAACTTAACCTTGTTCATTGATCCATGAAATGAGGTCGAGGTCAAGTGAAAACTGTGTGACGGGCATGAGGACCTTGCAAGGTACGCACATACCAAATATAGTTGAACTATTGCATATAGTATTAGAAAAAAAGACCAAAACTCAAAAACTTAACTTTAACCACTGAACCATGAAAATGAGGTCAAGGTCAGATGACACCTGCCCGCTAGACATGTACACCTTACAATCATTCCATACACCAAATATAGTAGACCTATGGCATACAGTATAAGAAAAACAGACTAAAACACAAAAACTTAACTATAACCACTGAACCATGAAAATGAGGTCAAGGTCAGATGACACCTGCCAGTTGGACATGTACACCTTACAGTCCTTCCATACACCGAATATACTAGACCTATTGCTTATAGTATCTGAGATATGGACTTGACCACCAAAACTTAACCTTGTTCACTGATCCATGAAATGAGGTCGAGGTCAAGTGAAAACTGTCTGACGGGCATGAGGACCTTGCAAGGTACGCACATACCAAATATAGTTATCCTATTACTTATAATAAGAGAGAATCTAACATTACAAAAAATCTTAACTTTTTTTCAAGTAGTCACTGAACCATGAAAATGAGGTCAAGGACATTGGACATGTGACTGACGGAAACTTCGTAACATGAGGCATCCATATACAAAGTATGAAGCATCCAGACCTTCCACCTTCTAAAATATAAAGCTTTTAAGAAGTTAGCTAACGCCGCCGCCGCCGTAGCCGCCGCTGCCGGATCACTATACCTATGTCGAGCTTTCTGCAACAAAAGTAGCAGGCTCGACAAAAACTGTATTTTACCGCTATGTTCTATTTTTAGCCATGGCGCCCACGTTTTTTGACGAAACAGAAAATAAAACACAAACATTATTCAAGATACCCTAAGGATCATTCAGCTTAAGTTTGGTTGGAATTGGATTAGTAGTTTCAGAGGAGAAGATGTTTGAAAAAGTTAACCCTGGATGGACGATGACGGACGCCAAATGATGGCAAAAGCTCACATTTCCTTTGGAAAGGTGATCTAAAAATTGAATCATAATTTCCTGTTGATATGCACATCTACATAGTTTGTCCTTATTATCTATAAAGTTGCATGAAATTCTGTTGTGTGGTTTCAGAGGAGTTGCGATGACAAGAACAGGACTGACGAACTGACGGACGGACGGACGGACAGACAGACAGACAAAAGGGTCAAAAACATTATACCCAACATAAAAATTGAGCGGGGTATAATTATTGTAAAACTGTGTTGTTGTCTTTCATGTTTTTCATTTTATGTCTTAATCTTATGCATTTGTATGTAATGTGATAAAAGCTCTTTCTACATATATGCATGTTATAGGGCCCTTTAAATGGAAAATAAAATACTGTTATTCCTATTCTATTTACATAAACATGTAAATCAACTTTTCCACACAGAGATAAGTATTATGTATAGATAAAAGGAGATGATGTGTTGTATATATACCAAGGAGACAGCAAGCTGATGACAAAAAAAAAAAAAAAAACATTCTGAGAGTATTGCATGCAATACATAGTCAGCTCTCAATTTAGGCTATAAAAACAGTCGACCTATAAAGCCTCCAGGCGACCTTAATTTCATTGTTGGTTGCCATTTGGCGACTGGTACTATTTGGACCTGGCAACCGTAAAATACCGGATAATCAACCTGCCTCCGGTCGTATTTTATTAAGTTTTATTCACAGTCATACGAGCGCTTGAATGTATGCTAAATCTTGAATATGATTTCACGCATTTTTAATCTTAACAGGGTCTATAAAGTGCTTAACCTAACTGGGAATTCAAGCGTCTGATGAAGTGTTTTTGGGGCCAATACATCATGGCAGCCAAACAGATGTTGCTGTCCAGATTTTTCAAAACAACGATGTTTCACCAGCTAAGAAACAAAAAGAAAGAGAGGAGAGTTCCTCTATCGAAACTCCAGCTTCTGAAGAGACAAGTACATCTTCTAATGTTACGATTAAGCGAATAAGAAAAATATTAGAAAATTTATTGATATGCTTTTTTTACTAGTCTTCATTAGCTCTACTGACTAGACTTTCATAACAAATTTCTTAGGCAACCTGAAATTATGTCCTGGCCACTAAAATTTTGAATTGGCCACTGAAATTTAATATCTGGTGGCCAAAAGGCAACCTGTTCTTTAAACCTACTTTGAGGGTTGATAGTCCCCTTACAATTAAAAATTCATTGTACTGGAACAAAATGCTAACTTGATCTATAACTTGTCATGGTGTAAACTATATAACAAATATCAAGTCAATATCTTAAAGCATGTCCAAAAAGTGTGGAAAACTGATTATTTTAGTGATTTTTCTAAGTCCAAGGACCATAACTCTGCACAAAATCATCAGACCAGAACAAAATTCGAACTTGATCTGTAACTTATCATGATAAAACAATACATCAAATATCAAATCAATGTCTTTTAGCACGAAGAACTAGAGGCTCTCAAGAGCCTGTGTCGCTCACCTGATTCTACTTTGGTTTTGGAAATCATGTAAAAATAGATTAAAATCATAACAGATACCCTAATAATGAGTGAGGCCAAATTTGGTTTAATATTGGTCCTGTAATTTAATAAAAAATCCTGGTGGCCATCTTGAATAGTAAATCGGCAACAAAGTAGCAACACTTCATCAGCACCTCATAAGAAACATTTATGCTATGTTTTGGTTTCATTCCATTCAGTGCACCTCTAGAAGAAGCATTTGTATGTATTTCCCATAGGGTCTTATGTTAAAGGAAGTCCCCCCATTGGCAGCCATCATGGATGAAGGATCAGCTTCAAAGTAACAAAACTTAGTTAGCACCTCATAAGGAACATTCTTGCCATGTTTGGTTTCAATCCATTCAGTATGTGGTTCTCTAAAAGAAGACATTTGTATGTATTGTCCATAGGGTCCTTTGTTAAACATTGTCCCCATCTGGCGGCCATCATGGATGAAGGATCAGCTTCAAAGTAACAACACTTGGTCAGCACCTCAAAAGGAACATGCATGCCATGTTTGGTTTCATTCCATTCAATGGTTCTCTAAAAGTAAACATTTGTATGTATTTCTCATAGGGTCCTATGTTAAACTAAGTCCTCCGCCTGCGGCCATCTTAGATTATGGATCGGCTTCATAGTAACAACACTTGGTCAGCACCTCATAAGGAACATTCATGCCATGTTTGGTTTCATTGCATTCAGTGGTTCTTTAAAAGAAGACATTTGTATGTATTTCCAATAGGCTCCTATGTTAAACTAAGTCTCCCGCTGGCGGCCACCTTGGATGATGGATCAGCTTCAAAGTAACAACACTTGGTCAGCACCTCATAAGGAACATTCATGCCATGTTTGGTTTCATTCCATTCAGTATTTCTCTAAAAGAAGACATTTGTATGTATTTCCCATAGGGTCCCATGTTAAACTAAGTCCCCCGCTGGCGGCCATCGTGGATTATGGATCGGCTTCAAAGTAACAACACTCTATCAGCACCTCATAAGGAACATTCATGCCATGTTTGGTTTCATTCCGTTCAGTGGTTCTCTAAAAGAAGACATTTGTATGTATTTCCCATAGGGTCTCATGTTAAACTAAGTCCCCTGCTGGCAGCCATCTTGGATTATGGATCGGCTTCAAAGTAACAACACTCTGTCAGCACCTCATAAGAAACATTCATGCAATGTTTGGTTTCATTCCATTCAGTGGTTCTCTAAAAGAAGACATTTGTATGTATTTCCCATAGGGTCCCATGTTAAACTAAGTCCCCCGCTGGCGGCCATCTTGGATTATGGATCGGCTTCAAAGTAACAACACTCGGTCAGCACCTCATAAGGAACATTCATGCCATGTTTGGTTTCATTCCATTTAGTGGTTCTCTAGAAGAAGTTCAAAATGTAAAAAGTTAACGCAACGACGGACGACGTCGGACGATGGACGCCAAGCTTCGGGCCAGGTGAGCTAAAAAAAGTGTTTTGAGGGATTGACCGACAGACGGACAGACAGACAGAGTGCAAACCTAAAGTCCCCTTCGACTTGGTTGGTAGGGGACTAAAAAGACATTCAACAGATGAGCACACTAGTTTCAAACATTTGCCTTTCACATATGCCAACATCTATACATGTATTAGGCAACAAGCTTGGATTTGTCAACTAACATTGTTAACTGACAACAAATACTACAGTGACATTGACAACTAAAGGCAACTGTTTTATTGTAACTTCTTTGTACCAAGTCTGTTGTGTCTCTAACAGTCTGTGACACATTTGTGAATATCTCTTTTTAATTAAGACAGAATATTTACCTTTAGGAAGTCCATCACTTCTTTCTTTTTCCTTTTTTTCTCTTCAGAATCATTGCTTTTCATTGTTACCATATCATAAGGAGTCTTACCCTGAAATACAATCAAAAACTCTTTTATCAATCATACAAATATACATCTTCTTTAAATAATAGGCAATTGTTGTACTAATTTTACCTATACAATGTAGAATATTGTTTTATTTACATATACTTGACATAAAACCAGTCAACCTAAACCAACAACAAATATGAAGTGACATAATAAAGAGATACATGAACAATATTTGAGATTTTACTGTTTAAGAACATGAATTAACTAGACATCATTGAGATGGGAGCCATCTCTGTGGGCCCCGCTGAAATAATGTGTGGTAAAAAATTTGTATCTTTACCCTAGGACATGGACTTGTCAACTGAAACCAAAGTTTTTAACCTTGACTTTTGACCTTAACAGTTCTCAAGATATAGAGTGGACACGATCTTTACTATAGGACATAGGGTTGTCATTTGAAACTAAAGTTTTTAAACTTGAACTTTGACCTAGGAAGTTGTACAAACATTATGACACACTCTCTGGTGTTGGTTAATATGCGTGTCAAGTATAAAGTATGAAATTATAACGGTTCTCTAGATATAGAGCAAACACAATTTGTTACGGACAAACGGACAGACGGACGGACGGACAGACTGATCAATATAGGGCGACCCGACACTAGGCGGGGCCCTAATTAGTGTAGTATGTAAATTATTACATTAAAACCAAACATACTAAAATAATAAAGTTATATTTATTATAATTCAACCATCTGGTTTACATTAAATTTTGCCTGTCTCATTAACTTGTAATGAGGGTATTATTATTCTAGTACATGCTTCATTGACAACAACTATGACACATTAGTAAAAGGCTGGCATATGTTACTGTGTAGTGTCATTATTCGTGTTTTGTGTTCGATTCACATGGACAATGAGAGTATTATTATTCTGGTACATGCTTTATTGACAACTACTATGACACATGAGTAAAAGACTGACACATGATACTGTGGAGTGTCATTATTTGTGCCTTGTGTTTGATTCACATGGACAATGAGAGTATTATTATTCTAGTACATGCTTTATTGACAACCACTATGACACATGAGTAAAAGGCTGACACATGTTACTGTGGAGTGTCATTATTAGTGTTTTGTGTTCAATTCACATGGACAATGAGGGTATTATTATTCTGGTACATGCTTTATTGACAACCACTATGACACATGAGTAAAAGGCTGACATATGTTACTGTGTAGTGTCATTATTAGTGTTTTGTGTTCAATTCACATGGACAATGAGAGTATTATTATTCTTGTACATGCTTTATTGACAACTACTATGACACATGAGTAAAAGACTGACACATGATACTGTGGAGTGTCATTATTTGTGCCTTGTGTTTGATTCACATGGACAATGAGAGTATCATTATTCTAGTACGTGCTTTATTGACAACCACTATGACACATGAGTAAAAGGCTGACATATGTTACTGTGGAGTGTCATTATTAGTGTTTTGTGTTCAATTCACATGGACAATGAGAGTATTATTATTCTAGTACGTGCTTTATTGACAACCACTATGACACATGAGTAAAAGGCTGACACATGTTACTGTGTAGTGTCATTATTCGTGTTTTGTGTTCGATTCACATGGATAATGAGAGTATTATTATTCTAGTACGTGCTTTATTGACAACCACTATGACACATGAGTAAAAGGCTGACACATGTTACTGTGTAGTGTCATTATTAGTGTTTTGTGTTCAATTCACATGGACAATGAGAGTATTATTATTCTAGTACGTGCTTTATTGACAACCACTTGATACATGAGTAAGGCCACAAAAAAAAAATATATGTCTGTTTATGGTTACCCAACCGACCTTACTTTTGAGCGCCTACCATAAGTCATTTTATTTCCATCGTAAAATGAAAATTTAGTTGAAGTCGTGCCAAAAGCAAAGTTAGAGTTACCAATAAAATAAATCAATTGCCTAATATATCCTATTATTATACTTCATGTCAAAATGCCAGATTTTGATTGGTTAATACGAGGGAGATAATTTACTCTATCCCAATACAAATACTCTATTACCCTTCACGGAGACGCTTGCTCAACTGTGCGCTTTAATAAAGAAGGATGATTGTTATGTACAAGATGACATAGTTTATTACTTTGAATTTGAAATTTAATAGAAAGTAATAACAGAACATTCAGTATAATAAATTAAATAAGAATATCTGAGAGGGTGATAGAGCATATTGTTACCCCTCGAAAAGACATTGTCAACCTTGGTTTGCCTCAGTTGACAATGTTTTCTCGGGGTAACATTCTGCTCTATCACCCTCTCAGCTATGTGTTATTTATATAATGTTCACAATTGTGAATATGACACTTCTTTTTAAGGAAATTATTAAATCGATACTTTGCCGCCATTTTTGCCCAATCAATAACAAAGGGAAATAATCCAATCATTAAAAATACAGGTAAACTCGACCCATGGACAATTCGGACCACAGCAATATAGACCGTGTAACTCATTATCATTTCGCAAAAAATAAAATGTAAAAAATAAAATAAAATTCAAATACTGACCTACCTACCCTATATTTTTTACTGATGTAACCTTAGACATATATTTTTTTTTTTTGCCTAAAAGGCTGGCATATGTCACTATGGTGTGTCATCATTCGTGTTTTGTGTTAGATTCACAATGACAATGAGAGTATTTTTATTCTAGTGTGTTGGTAAATGTTTAATTGAAGTATAATGAGATGGTTGTGCTGGTATAGTATTATTGGTGTTAGATGTGTAATTGGAGTGTGATTAGATGGTTGTTGTGCTGGTATAGTATTATTAATATTGTTAGATGTGTAATTGGAGTGTGATTAGATGGTTGATGTGAGGTAGTGTATTAATTGTGTTAGATGTGTAATTGGAGTATGATGAGATGGTTGTTGTGCTGGTATAGTATTATTAATATTGTTAGATGTGTAATTGGAGTGTGATTAGATGGTTGATGTGAGGTAGTGTATTAATTGTGTTAGATGTGTAATTGGAGTATGATTAGATGGTTGTTGTGCTGGCAGTGTATTATTGGTGTTGGATGTGTTGGTGGAGTATGATTAGATGGTTGATGTGCTGGCAGTGTGTTATTAGTGTTAGATGTGTTGGTAGAGAATGATTAGATGGTTGATGTACTGGCAGTGTATTATTGGTGTTAGATGTGTAATTGGAGTATGATTAGATGGTTGTTGTGCTGGCAGTGTATTATTGGTGTTGGATGTGTTGGTGGAGTATGATTAGATGGTTGATGTGCTGGCAGTGTATTATTAGTGTTAGATGTGTTGGTGGAGAATGATTAGATGGTTGATGTGCTGGCAGTGTATTATTGGTGTTAGATGTGTTGGTGGAGTATGATTAGATGGTTGATGTACTGGCAGTGTATTATTGGTGTTAGATGTGTTGGTGGAGTGAAGTATGATTAGATGGTTGATGTGTTAGCAGTGTATTATTGGTGTTAGATGTGTTGGTGGAGTATGATTAGATGGTTGATGTGCTGGTAGTGTATTATTGGTGTTAGATGTGTTGGTGGAGTATGATGAGATGGTTGATGTACTGGTAGTGTATTATTGGTGTTAGATGTGTTTGTGGAGTATGATTAGATGGTTGATGTACTGGCAGTGTAGTATTGGTGTTAGATGTGTTGGTGGAGTATGATTAGATTGTTGATGTGCTGGTAGTGTATTATTGGTGTTAGATGTGTTGGTGGAGTATGATTAGATGGTTGATGTACTGGTAGTGTATTATTGGTGTTAGATGTGTTTGTGGAGTATGAATAGATGGTTGATGTACTGGCAGTGTAGTATTGGTGTTAGATGTGTTGGTGGAGTATGATTAGATGGTTGATGTACTGGCAGTGTATTATTGGTGTTAGATGTGTTGGTGGAGTATGATTAGATGGTTGATGTGCTGGCAGTGTATTATTGGTGTTAGATGTGTTTGTGGAGTATGATTAGATGGTTGATGTACTGGTAGTGTATTATTGGTGTTAGATGTGTTTGTGGAGTATGAATAGATGGTTGATGTACTGGCAGTGTAGTATTGGTGTTAGATGTGTTGGTGGAGTATGATTAGATGGTTGATGTACTGGCAGTGTATTATTGGTGTTAGATGTGTTGGTGGAGTATGATTAGATGGTTGATGTGCTGGCAGTGTATTATTGGTGTTAGATGTGTTTGTGGAGTATGATTAGATGGTTGATGTGCTGGCAGTGTATTATTGGTGCTAGATGTGTTGGTGGAGTATGATTAGATGGTTGATGTGCTGGTAGTGTATTATTGGTGTTAGATGTGTTGGTGGAGTATGATTAGATGGTTGATGTGCTGGTAGTGTATTATTGGTGTTAGATGTGTTGGTGGAGTAGATTAGATGGTTGATGTGCTGGTAGTGTATTATTGGTGTTAGATGTGTTGTTGGAGTATGATTATATGGTTGATGTGCTGGTAGTGTATTATTGGTGTTAGATGTGTTGGTGGAGTATGATTATATGGTTGATGTGCTGGTAGTGTATTATTGGTGTTAGATGTGTTGGTGGAGTATGATTAGATGGTTGATGTACTGGCAGTGTAGTATTGATGTTAGATGTGTTGGTGGAGTATGATTAGATGGTTGATGTGCTGGTAGTGTATTATTGGTGTTAGATGTGTAATTAGAGTATGATTACATGATTGATATGCTGGTAGTGTATTATTGGTGTTAAGATCTGTAATTTGAGTATGATTAGATGGTAGTGTCTGATTGTTAGAAAATATGTTGGTAGTGTATGATTGGTGTAATTGGAGTATGATAAGATTGTAGTGTATGATTGGTAGTGTATGATTGTTGGAAGGTATGTTGGTAGTGTATGATTGTTGCAAGGTATGTTGGTAGTGTATGATTGGTAAAAGGTATGTTGGAAGAGTATGATTGGTGGAAGGTGTGTTGGTATTATATGATTGTTGGAAGTGTATGATTGATGGAAGGTATGTTGGAAGTGTATGATTAGT